CACTTGGCTAATTTTTTATTTTTTGTAGAAACAGGGTCCCACTTTGTTGCCCAAGACTGTCCTGGCTTCCTGGACTCTGGGCTCAAGTGATCCTTCTGCCTTGACCTCCCAAAGTGGTAGGATTACCAGCATGAGTCACTCCACCTGGCCTACATCCTATTTTCAAATTAATCTTTATTTTAGCAAAGTAATCATGTTGCTTTCTCGCCACGTTACGTTTCTGAGGTTTATCCATGACAGTATCCACTGTCTGAACGTAGTGTTGTATGACTGGCTAGGGATGCGGCAGAGGGCAGGTACAGCTCAGATGAAGCCTCCTTGTAGCGGGGAAGAAAGAGAAATGGACATTGAATTACAGTCAGCTGGCCTAGGAGAAGACAGGACCCTTCAGAAGGGGTAGGTCAAAGCTCCTAGAAGCTGAGCTCATAAGGTCGAGAGGGAGTTTGCTGGGTGAACAAACAAATTCAGGTTAGGGGTCCTGCATGCAGAAGCCTTTGAGAAATGATGGCGCCTCGTTTCATGAGGCCAGGCTGTCTGTAGGTGAGGTTGTGAGGAGACTTGGGCATTGGAACTCACATATAAGGTGGTATGCATTGGAACCCTGAGCTCTGGGACTGTCCTGTGTATTTGAGTCACTGATAAACAGCACTCACCAAGGGTCGAGCCTGGGAGGAGGGAGTGGAGCGGAGCTCGTGGTCAAGCAGTGCCTGCTTCTGCCCCGCCAGCCTGGTCACCCACGTCCTTCCTCACATGTGAAGCAGGGGTGACCACGGTGCCTGTGTGCCGGGTCTCTGTGAGTGTGGGGAGGAGCACCGCTATTACATTGTTTTGCCATTTGTTACATGTTATGCTGTTGTTGTTATGTTGTTGTTATGCTGCTGTTATGTTATTATTACCAGTGTTATGTTGTTACTCCAGTGTTATGTTGCTGTTGTTACACCAGAGTTATGTTGCTATTCTGCCAGTGTTATGCCAGTATTACATTGTTACACCAGTGTTGCTGCACCAGTGTTGTTACACTGAGGTTATGCTGTTGTTATGCCGGTGTTATGTTGCTGTTGTTACATGGTGTTATTACGTTGTTGTTACACCAGTGTTGTTATCTTGTTTTGCCAGTGTTGTTATGTTGTTATGCTGGTGTTGTTACATTACTGTTGTTATGCCAGTGTTGTTACATTAGTGTTACACTGGTGCTGTTATGTTGTTGCTGTTATGTACGCTGGTGTTATGTTGGTGTTGTTACACCAGTGTTGTTATGTTGGTGGTATTATGCCAGTGTTACGTTGCTGTTATGCCAGTGTTATGCCGGTCTTGCTATGTCAGTGTTGTTAGGCTGATGTTGTTACACTGTTGTTATGTTATTATGCTGGGGTTATGTTGCTGTTGTTATGCTGGTGTTATGCTGGTGTTGTTAAGCCAGTGTTACATTGTTGTTATGCTGATTTTGTTACACTGGTGTTGATATGTTGTTATGCTGGTGTTACATTATTACACTGGTGTTGTTATGCCAGTGTTGTTACATTGTTATGCTGTGTTGCTGTTATGCTGGTGTTATGTTGTTGTTATGCCACTGTTCCTGTTACACTGGTGTTGTTACATTATTACGTTGGTATGTTATTACACCAGTGTTGTTACATTGTTGTTATATGGTGTTGCTATTGTTATGCTGGTGTTGTTACATTGTTGTTTTGCTGGTGTTAGGTGGCTGTTAGGCCAGTGTTGTTACATTGTTACGTCAGTGTTATGTTGTTGCAACAGTGTTATTACATTGTTGTTATGCTGGTATTATGTTGCTATTGTTATGCTAGTGTTACATTGTTATGCCGTTGTTAGGTTGCTGTTGTTACACTGATGTTACATTGTTGTCACGGCAGTATTATGGTGTTATGCCACTGTTATCCTTTATGTTGCTGTTGTTACACTGGTGTTATGTTGCTGTTATACCAGTGTTATATTGTTATGCCAGTGTTATGTTGCTGTTGTTATGCCAGTATTATGTTGCCATTATGGTGGTGTTATGTTGTTACACCAGTGTTATGTTGCTGTTATGCCAGTGATATGTTGGTGTTAACACCAGTGTTGTTATGTTGGTGTTATGTTGTTACACTGGTATTGTTATGTTGGTGGTGTTATGCCAGTGTTGTCATATTGTTGTTACACCGGGGTTATGTTGCTAGTGTTATGCCAGTGTTGTAACATTACGCCAGTGTTATGTTGCTGTTACACCAGTGTTGTTACATTGTTACACTGTTACGCTGGTGTTATGTTGTGTTGTTATGCCAGTGTTATGTCGGTGTTACACAGGTGTTATTACATTGTTACATAGTGGCATTAGGTTGTTGCACCAGTGTTACGTTGTTACATTGGGGTTATGTTGCTGCTGTTACACCAGTGTGGTTACATGTTGTTATGCCAGTGTTATGTTGCTGCTGTTATGCTGGTGTTACACTGTTATGCCAGTGTTGTTACATTGTTGTTATGCTGGTGTTACGTTGTTATGCCAGTTCTGTTATGTTATGCTGGCTTTATGTTTCTGGTGTTATGCCAGTGTTGTTATGTTATTGTTAACACCAGTCACCAGTGCTGTTATGTTGTTACACTGGTATGATGTTGCTGGTGTTATGCCAGTGCTGTTACATTGTTATGCTGGTGGTGGTATGCTGGTGGTGTTACATTGTAATGCTGGTGTTATGGTAGTGGTATGTTGTTATGCCAGTATTGTTACATTGTTATGTTGGTGTTACAGTGTTATGCTGGTGTTGTTATACCAGTGTTGTTATGTTGTTGTTAAGCTGGTATTATGTTGCTGCTGTTACACTGGTGTTGTAACATTATGTCAGTGTTATGTTGTTACACTGGTGTTGTTATGTTGCTATTGTTATATCAGTGTTTTTATGTTGCTATGCCAGTATTTTGTTATGTTGGTGTTGTTACATTGTTGTTACACCAGTGTTATGTTGCTAGTGTCACACCAGTGTTACATTGTTGTTATGCTGGTATTATGTTGTTACACCAGTGTTATGTTGCTGGTGTTACACTATTGTTACATTGTTATGCTGGTGTTTTTACACTGTTGTTACATTGGTATTATGTTGTTACGCTGGTGTTACATTCTTATGCTGGTGTTGTTACATTGTTATTATGCCAGTGTTGTTATGCTAGTGTTATGTTGCCGGTGTTATGTTGGTGTTGTTAACACCAGTGTTGCTATATTGGTGTCGTTAGAGTGGTGTTATGGTGGTTTTGTTATGCCAGTGTTGTTATATTGTTGTTAAGCTTGTGTTATGTTGCTGTTATGCTGGTGTTGTAATGTTATGTCAGTGTTATGTTGTTGCACTGGTATTGTTATGTTGCTGTGGTTACACCAGTGTTGTTATGTTGCTATGCCAGTGTTATTATGTTGCTTATGCTGGTGTTGTTACACCAGTGTTATGTTGCTGTTACACCAGCATTGTTACATTGTTGTTACATTGTTGTTATGTTACGCTGGTGTTGTTATGTCCTTATGCTGGTGGTGTTACATTGTTGTTATGCTAGTGTTATGTTGTTATACTGGTGTTGTTATGTTGCTGTTGTTATGCCAGCGTTATGTTGTTTTTACACCGGTGGTGTTATGTTGCCGTCAATGCTGGGCGTGCTGTTCTGTGTTATTCCAGTGTTCTTCCCTTTTATCCTCACAGTCACCCCGTGCACCTGACAACTGGATGTGTGCACCTTGGGGTCTTCAGCCTAAACACATCTAAATCCCCCACCAGACTCCCCCACTCCCAGCCTCCCTGTGTCTGTGAGTGCCTCCACTGCCCATCCCTCCACTCAGGCCCCATTTCCAGGGCTCATCTTTGGGGCCTCTGTGTTGCTCACGCCCACCCCGTCTGTCAGCAGGTCCAGCCACTCCTGACTCCGGGTGCATCTCCCTGCCCCGCAGCTCCTGTACTGCTCATTAGTCCAGGCCCTGTCATCTCCTCTGGGCAGCCGTGAAGCCTCCTTCTTGCCTTCCCTGCTTCTGCACCCCTTCTCCCCTGCAGGCCAGGGGTTGATCCCCAATATGGGTCTCGTCTTCTGCCTCCAACCCTTCAGCGTCCCCCAGTGAGCTTAGAAAAAAAGTGCAGCCTCTTTGCCTTGTCCTGCAAGATCCCTGCACTCCTCTCCAGCCTCACCGCTGTCCCCACTCTTTGCTCACCTCCATCCGGCCCCCAGCAGGCCAAGTTCCTTCCTACCTTGGGGCTTTGGCACTGGAGGGTCCCTGCATCCCTGAGACACTATCTCCCTGGCTTTTTGCGGGGCTGGCTCTTCGGGTCTCAGAGGAGCCTTTTCATTACCCTCAGTCACAGCCAGTCTGTAGTTTTATTTGCTTCCTTTTCTCTCCTTCCCACTTTCCCTCTTTCCTGCTCCCCTGCACACTGCCTGGCACAGGTATGCACCTGGTAGTGGGATAAGAGGATGGAGTAGGCGTCCCGCTCCTGCCCGGGGCTGTAGGCGCCATTTGTTGGTCCCATCTGAGGGCAGGATGCAGGAACAAAAGTCAAGTTACTTGCCCAAGATCACACGTTAGTAAGCGGCAGTCACACTCTGGGGCCCAAGCCCCTGCCATGGTGCCGCTGCCCCCGCCATGGCACCATAGCCCCCACAGTGCCATACCGTCTGCCGCCAGTGGCCAGGCAGGGCAGGGCAAGGGGCTGGCCAGTATCTGCAGATGCAATCTGGCCTTTACTGGGAATAGAGCTTTCTTCACGTGGATTTCTGGAGCAGCTTATGGATTTAACGCATTCTCTTACGGTAGTTCTCATTGATGGACAGAGGTGGTGGCTTTAAGACTTCCTTCCTCCCTTCTCTTGGCGAGGTTGGCTTTGGTGTGCACTGTTTTTATAGGCTCTGTGGACTCGGGGACGAGGATGCTTGGAGGCAGGACGAATGTGGGGCTGGGGTCTCGGTGCACCTTGGCGAAATCTGATGCCCTGGCCTCTCTTTACATCCACCCCTTCTCCACCTCCCTTCACCAGGGCGCACCAGCTTCTACGAGGAGTACGGCGTCATTCGCGACGTCCTCCAGAACCACCTAACGGAGATCCTCACCCTGGTGGCCATGGAGCTGCCCCACAGCGTCAGCAGTGTGGAGGCGGTGCTGCGGCACAAGCTTCGGCTCTTCCAGGCACTGCGGGGCCTGCAGAGGGCCAGTGCCGTCGTGGGCCAGTACCAGGCTTACAGTGAGCAGGTGCGCAGGGAGCTGCAGAAGCTAGACAGCTTCCACAGCCTGACACCGACCTTCGCAGGTGGGCCCTGGGGTCGGGCATGGGGCACTGGGCTGCCCACTTTCGGGAGCAGCTTTCCAAACCCAGACTCCTTTGGGTGGGGTGGAGGGGACTTGCGGTGGGATTTCTCCCAGGGCACTTGGCAGAAAGCGTTCCCCTGTCTCCCTGGCTTCCTACCAGCTCGGAGCGGCAGGCGACCTGCTGGTGCTCCCAGGGTGAAGGACATCCTGATGGCCTTGGCCTCAGGTCAGCCCCACTTCAGTCCCAGATGCTTCCCGAGGGTTTGTCATGTGAGGCTCAGACAGACCTGGTTCCTGCCTCATAGGGCCTACCCAGCGAGGCTGCGAGCCTTTGGCCTGGCCACAGCTGGAGGCACTTCCAGTGGGCAAGTGCCAGGCTGGGGCTGTCCTCTAGGCAGTTCAGAGGCCCAGGGCTTTCTGGGAGAGGCTGGCTCCTCGGCAGCTAGCAGCCAGGCAGCAAGAGCCGCAGCTGCCTGTGGAGCATGTGCCACGTGCCAGGCACCTTGTAGACGTCTCTCATGCAAGCCTCACGCACAAACCAAGGGGCGGGGGGCCGTTAGCCCCGTTTTATAGGTGAGGAAACGTCAGGCTCATTGATGTCATGAAAGTGAACCAGGCTTGCAACTTGGCCATGGAGTCCCGTCAGCTCCTGGCTCTTCCCACCAGGCCTTGCCCTCCCCGAAGCCATGTTCCCCACTGACACCCCGCCCACGGGCCTCTGGTTGAGTGACTGTCTCCCCACCCCACTGCATCTGACTCTGGTTTGGGTGCATTGTGAATGCTTCACAGACAGAAGAGGGGAGCACATTTCTCTGTAGGGCCCCCTGCCCCCTTATACACCTGTCAGGATCCTCCACCCCGCTTGCCCCCAGTGTGGGGCTTCCTGTAGAGTCTCCAGCTTGGAGGCTGTCAGCCAGGCTCTTCTTTGCTGGGGGACCATGACTCTAAGAGGGGCCTCAAGGAAGTGAGGTGGCAAAGCTGTAGAGATAACCCCAGAGACCACTTTTCCAGCATGGACCAGGAAGAGAAGGTCATAGAAGAGAGGCCAGCTGAGGAGTGATCATGACAAGGCGAGGGGCTTCCCACAGGCAGGGGGACGCCCGGAGGAGGGGCCAGCAAGGAGAGGGCTGGCCGGAGAGTCCTGGTCTGTGCTGGAGAGTCACCCTCTGCTGTTCCCTCGCCCCAGGCGTCCTCGTGCACGTTGACAGCCTTCGCTGGGAGGGCGTGCCTTTCATCCTGATGTCTGGCAAAGCCTTGGATGAGAGAGTGGGCTACGCTCGGATCTTGTTCAAGAACCAGGCATGCTGTGTCCAGAGCGAAAAGCACTGGGCCGCGGCGCAGAGTCAGTGCCTGCCTCGGCAGCTCATCTTCCACATTGGCCACGGTGACCTGGGCAGCCCAGCTGTGCTGGTCAGCAGGAACCTGTTCAGGCCCTCCCTGCCCTCCAGCTGGAAGGAAGTGGAGGGCCCGCCCGGGCTCCGCCTTTTCGGCAGTCCCCTGTCCAGTTACTACGCCTACAGCCCCGTGCAGGAGCGGGACGCCTACTCCATCCTCCTCTCCCACATCTACCACGGCCGGAAGGATTCCTTCATCACCACGGAGAACCTGCTGGCTTCCTGGGGCTTCTGGACGCCCCTGCTGGAGAGCCTGGCCCACACGGCCCCACGCCTGTATCCTGGAGGAGCTGAGAACGGCCATCTGCTGGACTTTGAGTTCAGTAGCGGCCGGTTGTTCTTTTCCCAGCAGCAGCCGGAGCAGCTGGTGCCAGGGCCAGCGTTGGCCCCAATGCCCAGTGACTTCCAGGTCCTCAGGGCCAAGTACCGAGAGAGCCCGCTGGTATCTGCCTGGTCCGAGGAGCTGATCTCTAAGCTGGCCACTGACATCGAGGCCACCGCTGTTCAGGCCGTGCGACGCTTTGGCCAGTTCCACCTGGCGCTGTCAGGGGGCTCGAGTCCTGTGGCCCTGTTCCAGCAGCTGGCCACAGCACACTATGGCTTCCCTTGGGCCCACACGCACCTGTGGCTGGTTGACGAGCGCTGCGTCCCGCTCTCCGACCCAGAGTCCAACTTCCAGGGCCTGCAGGCCCACCTGCTGCAGCACGTCCGGGTCCCCTACCTCAACATCCACCCCATGCCGGTGCACCTGCAGCAGCGGCTCTGCGCTGAGGAGGACCAGGGCGCCCAGCTCTACGCCAGGGAGATCTCAACCCTGGTGGCCAACAGCAGCTTCGACCTGGTGCTGCTGGGCATGGGTGCCGATGGGCACACAGCCTCCCTCTTCCCACAGTCGCCCACCGGCCTGGATGGTGAGCAGCTGGTCGTGCTGACCACAAGCCCCTCCCAGCCACACCGCCGCATGAGCCTCAGCCTGCCTCTCATCAACCGCGCCAAGAAGGTGGCAGTCCTGGTCATGGGCAGAATGAAGCGTGAAATCACCACGCTGGTGAGCCGGGTGGGCCATGAGCCCAAGAAGTGGCCCATCTCAGGTGTCCTGCCGCACTCTGGCCAGCTGGTGTGGTACATGGACTTCGACGCCTTCCTGGGATGAGGGTGCCTTGTGCCCCTTGCCCACTCTGCTCCTGTGCTTTCCTTTACCTCTGTCTCCCTCCCCTCTTGGCCCCACCACCTGCCCAGCATGCCCTGGCTCTCCAGACCCTGCTGCCCCACAGTCAGGCCCCAGAGTGGGCAGGACAAGGCCTTGTCCCAATGCCTTTGACAGGCAGCTCTGTCTAGTGGTGGATAGATGCAGAAACAAAGAAGAAATGGAATCTGCTCCTGAGAAGCTCCAAATCCAAGCCAGGAGAGAAGCCTTAAGAAAAGCCCTGCAGCAGTCGCACATTCCCATCAGCCAGCACAACGCAGGGTGGCGCCCAGCTCCCGTGTTCACAGGAGGAGACGTGGTGGGCTGAGGTTAATCAGGGAAGGTTTCCTGGGGAAGGTGGTCCTTGAATTGGCTCCTGGGGAACATTCAAAGAGCATGATTGGCAGACAGAAGGGTGCAGAGGTACCCAGAGGAGTACATTACCCTGTGCAAGGCAAGGGCACTGGGGACCGTCTTGAGACCTTGAAGGGGTCAAGCCCCTCCTTCCCCAGCTGCCCCTTCTAGAACCTCTGCACATCCAGCCTCTCTCCCTCCTCTTTGCTGCCTCACTCGCTGTCCCTCTCTCCTCTATTCTGGCTGTGCAGTGGGAATTCCAGTCTCCTGCCTGCGTCTTTGCTATTCCTCAGGCTCCATTTATAGAGAGATGAGGGCTGATAACCAGAATACAGCAGCAAAGATTAGGCGATGTAAAAGGTTCCAGAATTTTTTTTTTTTTATTAAAAAAATTATTTGCAGAGATGAGCTCTTGCTAGTTGCCCAGGCTAGTCTCAAACTCCTGGGCTCAAGTGATCCTCCCATCTCAGCCTCCCAGAGTGCTGGGATTACACGTGTGAGCCACTGTGCCCGGCCCCAGAAATCTGAGTGCTGTCTGGAGCTCCCTTTCTCAGCTGATGACCTGCTCTGTGTGGGGAGGTGGGGTCTTACGCCCCCAGCTTTCTTGGGGAGGACCCCCGACCTCCGCTGCTCCTCTGTCCTGCTGGTCTTCCTCCATGAAGCACGCTGGGTGCACATAATCAGGCCATCCTGGGGAACTCCAATTTAAGAGGGTCAGTTACATCTCAGGGAACTCCCGGGTGGATGTTCCACTCTCAGTAGCCCATCTTGTTTTACCAGAAAAGATGCAGTTAAATCACCCACTGAGGTGGCAGCTTATTAGTGGGAAGACAGATGGAGCATCAGGTGACACAGGCCATCCAGGCGGCTCTGCTCCCACCAGACAGGAGCCAGGCCTCACTGGCGGGACGGCTGCCCACAGCCCTTCAGGGGCTCACTTGGCGGGTGACAGGGCTGCAGCCAGGCCTTCTCTCCCTGCCCCTTGGTGGCCCTGTGACTTCCTGTCTGCTGTCTCTCCTGCCACCTCTCACCTCACCACTAACACTGCCGAGACCAGGGAAGTAAGTGGGTAGCTTCTTCATAAGCTTAGGTTGGGGACTGTGGTCTTGAGAAGCCACAGGCCAGCAATACCTGCTTTTCTGAAACCCCCAAGGAGGGCTCTGACATTCTTTTAAAAAACAACACAAAGCAAAATTCCCAGGACACGTGTAGTTTTATTTGTTCAACATCCCACAGTCAAGGGTGGGAGATAGAACTCTTGGTTAAGGGCGAGTTTTCTGTCTGGCTTCTCCCCCACCTCACGATTGTACCCGATCAGGCAGTTACAAAATTTCTACCGCATTTTCAGAGAGGGCCTTCCTGGGTGAGGGAGCATGGTGAAATTAGTTTCTCTCTGGACTATTTACACTTCGAGGCTATGGATTTCAACGAATCCTGACTTTCATTTGCAATGCCGGCCTGAGACCTGGTTCCCAAGCCGGGGCTCTTGTTCAGACTGTTGTTCAGACTGCTTACTCTGGCCGCCAACCCAGGCCAGAGAGAGAATCTTTCTCTTTCTCTCTCTCTCTCTCTCTCTCTCTCTCTCTCTTTAAAGACAGAGTCTCTCTCTGTCACCCATACAGGAATACAGTGGCAAGATCTTGGCTCACTACAACCTCCACCTCTTGGGTTCAAGCAATTCTCATGCCTCAACCTCCTGAGTAGCTGGGACTACAGGTCCCAGCCACCACGCCTGGTTAATTTTTGTATTTTTGTAGAGACAAGGGTTTCACCACGTTGCCCAGGCTGGTCTCAAACTCCTGAGCTCAGGCAGTCTACCCACCTCAGTCTCCCAAAGTGCTGGGATTACAAGTGTGGCCACCACGCCCAGCCAGTTCATCTGTCTTTATAAACCTGGAGAGTGCTCCTCATTAAGACAGAACTGTAGAGTCCAGAGCCGGGAAGACCCCATCCGGGCGCCAAGTGTCTGTGCTTCTGCACGTGCTGGGCCGGCTCAGGAGAGGACAGGGGGTCGCCGTGGAAGTTCCACGGCTGGCCACGTGGGGGCGCCCTTGCACCGCACTGCCACCTCCTGAGTGCCCCGCTCCCCGTGCAGCTCCTGTGCGGAATTTCTCATTTCCCTCCTTTCTCCCTGGGTGCCTGGCCCCAGTGCTCTCCCATCTGTTCTTCAGGAACTGACTCCTCTGCGGTGGCAACGCCAGAGAGAAAGGGGCCTTCACATGCTCAAGTGCCCCTGCGGGATGAAGGGCGAGCCGGCCCTTGAAGTCACCATTTCTGAATAGTAGTCTCTGACGCCGAGTCTGGGATGTCTTGTTCTAGCTCAGCCTTGCCTGGGATGCACCATGAGTCTGTGCGGAGCGTGGGTGGGAGTGTGAGTGGGGGTCAAAAGACCAAAAGTCTCCTTTCCAGAATCAAGTGCCTTCTTCAAATCACGTTGGAAAAGTCCAGACTTGGAGCTGTCCATGTTCCCGTGCCCCTGCCCACCCCTTTCCCTTCACCTGGGTTAGGAAGGAGAAGTTCTCAGAACCCTCTAGGCTGGTGGCTTTCAAACTTCAGACCAGAGTCTGCAGCAAGAAACGTGCCTTCCGTCATAAATCAGTCCATTCATTTACAACTGTGTCTCAAGCAAGTTTCATAAAAAAAAAAAAAAAAAAAAAAAAAAAAAAAAAAAAAAAAAAAATTCTTACCCTTAGGACCTTGGATATCCTCTATTTTTTAGTTTTCATTAAAAAAAAAATGCTTCTTAAATTTCACTAAATTGGGCTAGGTGCAGTGGCTTGTGCCTGTAATCCCAGCACCGTGGGAGGCAGAGGTGAGAGGTTCGCTTGAGCTCAGAAGGTTGAAACCAGCCTGGGCAACATGGTGAGACCCCCATCTACAAAAAGCTTTAAAAAAATTAGCCAGGCATGGTGGTGCATACCTGTAGTCTCGGCTACTTGGGAGGCTGAGGTAGGAGGATCTCCAGAGGGCAGGAGGCTGAGACTGCAGTCAGGTGTGATTGCATTAGCATGCTCTAGCCTGGAAGACAGAATGAGACCCTGTCTCAAAAAAAAAAAAAAAAAAGAAAAAAGGAAGGAATGATGGCAGCAGCCCAGGCCGCAGCCCTGCTCAGAACCCAGGGCTGTGGGACTCCAGGGCTGTGTTCCCAGGCGTGCTCCTGGCCTCTTCCTGGCCTGGGAGCCCTTGGGTCCTATGGTGGCAGCAGTTACCATAGGCCAGGTGCCCTGGTGGGGACCAATGATTCCATCCACATGGAAGCCCACTTGTGCACTTCGGGGCCTATAAATGGCAGAAGGGCCCCTCCTTTGGGAGACCTTTTCAGCCAGCAGCTCTAGAGCAAGCATGATCACCATTTGTAAAGGGGAAGGAATCAAGGGACTTTAAGCTAGATGTAAGCTAGATCAAAATCTGGGGGCAAATTTCCGGCCAACCGCAAGTTAAAATAGGCCCATCTTATTGAATTTCCCTGTCGTTTGTTTCTCTGCAGACAATGCTTTAACCCTACTCTTGGGCCCCCAAATTAGAATCATACACAAAGCTTCCTGCCATTTGGCCTAATATTCCACACTATTCCCTCGAGGGATTTCATTCCAAACTATGCAGGGCTCAGGCTCCCTAGTCTGGCCCCTGCTGCTTTTCTTGCATTTCTCCTGTCCCTGTTCTGGAGGGCCCAGGTGGAACACCCAACAGGGAGGGAGAAGCTTCCAAAGCCGCAGGACTGTTTCCCAGAATTTGGTTTTCAGGTATGAAACTCTTTTTGTCCTATACAATATATGCAGCCTCACAGAAGCAGCCTCTGCATCCGCTTTACCCAGCTACATTTTTATCTTAAGCACATGGGACTCCCTTAGAACTTACTCCACTGGTTAGACCAAAAAAAAAAGCACCCTGGCAGCATCTCAGTGTTAGAGTGAGCACGGCACAGGAAAGGCCCATGGTGACCGGACGACACCCTAGCACCCATTCGCCCTGCAAATGAGGCTCCAGAGGGCGAAGATCTGCGGCCACCAGATGTCACAGGCCATGGGACCCACCAGGGGCCACTTACCCCTGGTCATCCACTGGCTGAACGCATTCCCTCTCTCTACAACTCCCCCATGAGGCTGCCCCCGGTGGGTGGCAGTTGAAGCAGTGCCGCTCATATTGTACACAGGAAGGAAGGAAATGCTTCCAGTCTCACCAGCATCTGGCGGCGAGTCAGAGCCTGTGAAGGCATCCGAAGCAGTGATGCCCTACAAACTTCCCGGCTGGTGCCATCTGCCCTCGGAGGCACCAAGCATTGTAGCTCAGTCATGGGAGCTGCCTCGCTGGAAGTGCTGATTTATTCCTCTAATAGTCCTGCCTGCTTCTGTCTCTTGTCCACTGACCAGCACGTGTGAGCCCAGGTGTCATTTGGCACAGTCCAATGTCCATCTTCATTTGCTCATGCAGAGGGGTTGAGTTGGACACTCCCATGTTCTTGGTTTTCCTTTAGCAGTGTCCTGGGCAGTCTCCCTATAAAACAGCCCACCTGCTGTGCCTGCTCTAGAGCAGAGCTCTCCCTCCCATCTCTTCAGTCTTCCCTGCAAAATCTGTCCACCGGGGAAAGGAGCAAGAACGCTGGGCAGCAGATGTTCTGGGAAGACTAGTGACAGCAGATGCCATCCGGGAGGAGCTGCGCACATGGTTCTCCAAGCCGCCGTCAGCAGCGCGAGGTGGGGTGTGAGTGACAAACTGAGGCTCTCACAGCTTGTTACTGAGCAAGGTGCAAGTTGACTAATGCTGTCATCAGCACTGGACAGGATGGCAAGGGCTTTCAGATGCATTTCTGAGATTCCAGCAGGCCGGGGGGACCACGATCCCTTTGCCGAAGCTTTCCTTTTAGCCAACTTTTGGGAGTGCTTCTGTTTGCAAAGCAGGTCGCTGGAGAGGTGCCCATCTCTGTGTGACCCACACGTGGGAAGCAGGAGCATTGGAGTAATTACACTTCCGCTGCTGCTTTGATTCTCAAGGCTGATTTTTGTTTAAAGCCTCACCTTGCCATCAGGTGCCTTAAAGGCAGTCTGCGTCTTTTCCTTTGGTGTGGGAGAGGTAAACATTTGGCTTTGCTGAGAGCTGTATGGAGTATATTTGAACAACTGGTAGTTAGCTTTGAAAGTGGAAGTGTTAACAGACCCCACCCATGTCAATTTGGGTCCTTCACTCTATCGCTGCAGAAGTCTAGAGGGGTCCGTCGTAAAGCGTTACGGGATGCCTGCATGCAGGAGGAAGGATCTGTATTCACTGGAAATCAGGAACCTGACTTGCCTCCACCAGGAAGAGCCAGCTGGCAGCAGATCCCAGGGGCAGAGCCCCTGCTAGGTCCCAGGAGCTTGTCTTTACCTGTGTCTGAGTGGGAACTGTGATTCCAGCTGGACAGGTCACATTGGAGCAGTGCCGAAAGGCCGTTGCAGAAGAACTAGACGGGCAGGGCCTGCCTCATCTGGATCACATTCCTGCACTCCGCCCTGCGCTAGGGACTCAGGGTCTGGGCTTCTGCCAGGTGAGCAGCAGAGAGACTGTTCCCTTGGGTGGAGAGATGTGGGCATGAGAGCCACCCATTGCCAAGCAGCAAGAATGTTCATGCTTTTTTTCGGAGAGGGGAACCCCACTGGTTTTTATGGTAACACTGGAAACTTAAAAGATCCCTAGGATGATGAGACATGAGACACATTCAGAACAAATGCCTTTTTTTTTTTTTTTTTTTTTTTTTTTTTTTTTTTTTTTGGAGACGGTCTTGCTCTGTCGCCCAGGCTGGAGTATAGTGGTGCGATCTTGGCTCACTGCGACCTTTGCCTCCGGAGTTCAAGTGATTCTCCTACCTCAGCCTCCTAAGAGCTGGGATTACACCACCATGCCCAGCAAACTTCTGTATTTTCAGTAGGGACAGGGTTTCACCATGTTGTTCAGGCTTGTCTCGAACTCCTGACCTCAGGCAGTCCACCTGCCCTAGCCTCCCAAAGTGCTGGGATTACAGGCATGAGCCACCGCACTCGGCCAGAACAATTGCCTTTTTAAACCTTTTAAAAATGTTTTTAAAATGGCTTTTTCTATGTCAAATGTAACATTCATTTTTTAAACAATAAAATTGATTTGCTAAAATCCATGCTTTAATTCTGTTTTAGGGGGATGGGGCGCAGGTGTCTGTGGGCCCCAGCATCGTGCTTGTGTGTTCTTGGAGGAAGGCGAGGTTTCGGGTGGGTGAGGGACCTGGGCCGTGGACAGCCACATGGCCATTGCAAGTGTGAGTGTGTCTGAGCAAGCCAGTGCGTTCCATTTGCAAGAGGGTCCATGGGCCTCATGAGAGAGACGGCAGTGGGCAGAGGGATTGCACCTCATAGACTCCCAAGCAGTCTGGGAAGAGTCCCCCAACCTTCCCAGAAGCCCACGGAAGGGGAAGGAGCTCACCCCTAAGGAAGCACATGGGGATATCTGATGGGAGATGTCAAGAGGGGAGGGTCTTTGAAGACACCAGAGCCTGATGCCTTCATTTGTCTTCTCTCTCGTCCCCTGCCTGAGTCCTACCTCCAAGCTGTGTCACAATCCCAGGAACGTAAATGTTTTGGGGAAGTCAAAT